CATAAGCTCAAAAGAAGAGATTAGAAGGTTCCTAAACATAGGCCTGATTTGCACCAGTCCCCTCCCCATCAACCGACCTTCTATGCGCAAGGTTGTTAAAATGCTGCAAGAAGTAGGTGCGGAAAACAAGCCCGTTACTGGTAGCAAGAAGGATGGCAAGCTCTCTCCTTATTACTACAACGAAGATGACGCGTCTGATCAAGGAAGCAGGGTTTAAAGATTTAGTTGAGAGCAGGTTGTTTGATTGAATGCTCAAATACTAATTCTTTCCTTGATTTATTTGGGGAGAATATAAGTATCTATAATCTAACCCCTAGAGTAAGGTAAGGCCACAGGACTTGGTATCAGGATAGCTGGTAATTGTAGGTCATGTTTGGGTTATATTTAATCAGTGTAGCTATAATTGTACAAAAGGGTAATCTTCAATTTACTTTTGAGAATTTTGTGAGGGTTCTGATATTTTGTGGGATATTGAGGGTTTAATTTTGGTGGGATCAATCCATGGCCGCCCCCATTCATTGATCTGGGGTCCCCTGCTTTTCATTTTGTGTCTCTGTGTAATTGTCATTGAAGGCCGCCTCCTCCTATAATGTTGATTTGAAAAGCTTCGTCCTTTTTGACATTTCTGCAATATTTTCTCAGCTTTAAACAGTAAGGATTCTCCTACCTTCTCCTACATGTGCTTCGTCATTGTCAGTCAATAACTCAAATACCAAAAACAAATTTTATTAATTTAGTTTTTTGTAAGGCATTTATTTCGGGGTCATCATCCCACCCTTCCCTTGGAAGACAAGTATGATTCATTATCATCGTACATAATTTATATATATATATATATATATGCTTAGCTATTAATGCAATTCATTCTTTTTAAAGTATTTTTCAAAAAATATTCGGGACTTAATAATTTATATAAAATACTGCAATTTTTCGAATTTTTTTTTTGTTTTTTTTTGGGGGTTTTCTGATGGTATATCCTAATTAATATTAAGGGAACTACAATATAAGTAGCACTAATTTCATGTGTAATAATAAACTTTTAATTTGGGTCACACTGAGGTCTTAATGGATTCCTTGCTGTCTGCCCATTTTAACCCAAAGTTCTGGGCCGTAAAGCCCATTTGGTCAACGTTCAAGACAGATAAATGAAAAGCTCAAATAGAAAAATCTCTACAGAAATTGCCTAAAAAAAAAAAAGTGCTTAATTTTACAGACGTATGATAATATTTTCAAATTTATAATTTATAATTTATATTATAAATAGAATTCTTGTTATCAATTGAATAAACACACTCATCCAAGACGCACTGATTTTACTCTTTCGAAACCATCTTTTAAAACACATTAATGCTGTTAATAATCTTATTAAAAATCAGATTGGAGGTGTATATTCTCCAAAGAATCTCTGTATATACATATATTATATAATTTACTTATTTTCCCTCCTTTTAGAGAACTGAACAGGGTGTTTAACATGCTTAATGATGTTCTTCGTTTTTATGTTAGAAGCTGAAAAATCATATTTTGCAAAACCTGTATTTTATCTTTATTTGTCTTCAGTAAGTCGATGACCTTTATCAAAAGGAGAACAAATGCTAGCTAGGGAATATCATCCTTGCAGGTCCCACAGTTTTCTCACACACAATATATATATATATATATATATATACAATGATTCACATTCAGTCATGATACACGTTTGGATTAAAACAATAAAAAATTCAATTTTTTTTTTTAATAAAAAACTATAAAAGTTCCATTGGCTAGAATATTATTATGCATGTCTTTTTTTTTTTTTTTTTATATACTGAAAAGTAAAATTATCATTATATTCTGAACAATTTGACATTAATATGATAACAATTAACTGATTTGTTGAATTAGCTTTCTTTCTAAAATGGTCTAACTGTGAAAGTAGAATGCAAGAGAACAAAATGAAACAACATAGAAGTTGAATCGACATGGCAGCTTCCTTTGTTTACTTACCATTGTTCTTTTTATACTCAGTAATCGTGTATAAATAGGTACTAATTCTACTTAGTTTTAACTAGTTCAATCGGTAAATTAATCATAGATTTTGAACACGAGGGATGGATAAGGCGGGTGTGAATTTCTACATCGAAATCAGTAGTAAAATAAATATAAACTTATATCTATTCTTATATCCGAAACGAACAAAAAAATTACTTATCTATTTACGTATGAAATATTTTATGTGCCACTCACTCGTCTTGTTTACTTCCTTATTTTATTTTCTAACTGTTCTGATCTATTTACGATTATTGCTTTTGTGAATATAGCAGGTAAATAATTTCACTAACTGACATAAGTCAAATATTGTATAATTGTTCGATTTTTCGCAATTTTTTATGTCCCTCTGTGTAAATAACCTAATATTGATTCACAGTTAATAGCATCTTTACCGTCAAGTGCAAATATAATTAAACTAATATTTTAATTTGATATTATCAATAATAAATATAAAATATTATAAATTTAAATATTTATTAATTAAAAATTGATTATGAGCAACATAAAAAATTTAATAATAATTATAGAGTGGGTGGAGCAGATAGATGCAGACCGAGTGTAATATTATATTTTTATCTATATCTTTTCTATACTTATTTTGAGTTTATAATTATATATATATATATATCTAGAACATATTCCGTTAATTATGAATTTTAATTGCGTTGTTTGTAACAAACTGAGACGAGTTAATAAATAGCTCGCTTTAGTGTCTATCTAATATCAATCTGACAATTGATACTATTTGAGATTCACAAGATGAAAGTAGTAATCTCTCTACTCCAACTCACCAATTTACAATTCAGTGTTTCATTCATATCTTTATTATTACAAGTATATTGAAGGATTCCACGAGACGAAGCCATATTTCAACACTTACTAGATACTAGATAAATTTAGTGGTTGAGATGGTTTCCCCATTCGTTTTCTATCTTGGTTCTCTTGTTTGATTCATTTTATGATTGCTTGATTTAGAGCAGTTGTACTTGGATCCTCTTATTGCACTAATGAGTTTTAATTATTAGTATTAAAATAAATGCTTGCCCAACATCCTGCAAATATATGAACACGTACACACACCACATTCATATTAAAAAATAAAATCAAGTTGTGTAATTTTTAATGCAATATTTTGTTGATAGCAATAGAAATAAATTACTAGTGTACGAAGAGTGAGGAGAGGGACGCAGGGGATTTCAGGTCCTATGTCACCCTAGAGTGTATATAAAGCTAACCTATACACAAATACCTGCAGAATATATATAAAAGTTACCAACAAATTAAAATTTTTGTTAACACCCACCAATAAATTCTATTTCTTCACGTAGACTTCTCATGTAAAGCAAGAAACCTCTCTCTCTCTCTCTCTAAGATGGCGATATATACATATCTATATGTATATATGCAGAAAACAAGTTTATATGTGATTAAAAAAAAAAAAAAAAAACTCAGGTTGCCCCATCTCCACTCAACCCATATTATCTTGTTAATTAAATTGGTGGTTTCTTTTACATTTAAACCATCCTTAGCTACAAAAACATATAATATATCAAAGCTAACTTCGTACAGTACTCTACCAAAAAAGACTCGAAAGCTACATTTATTCTCCTACAAGTTTTTCATACACACACACACACACACACACACAGACACCACAAACATAAACACATTATATAAATATATATATATACATATACATATACATATACATATACATACACACACACACACGAACATAGGCAAACCAAACGTAAGATCCAAGCAACACTTTTCCTAATTTCCCCTTTTCTCGGCCATTCGATCTTCCCATATATAGAATTTTCCTTTGGTATAATTTTGAAGGTCTGTAATTTCATTTTTTAGGTAGGTCTCTCTCTTTAGAGTAAGGACAAGGAGATCAGGTGGACAGTAGATGTACTGATCAAAACATGCAAAGAAGAAGAAAAAAGTGAAGAAGAATTCAATTCCTTTCCTACGCTCTGGGTGATATCTCATGAGGTCTTAGGAGGAGGGAATTACAGACACTTTGCTTTTTCGTTTTAAATTTTAATCATCTTTTCTCTCTTTCTCTCTCTCTCATCTTCTAGATTAATTTAAACAGTTTATTTTGGAGTGAGCAGTGGGATCAGGAAACAAGAAAGAAGAGATATTTCAGAAGTATTGTGAAATGAGCATAAGAGGAAACCTGGTGCAGGTAATTTAGGTTTATAATAAAGTGATATTACAGGAAATTATGACTTGGTGCAGTGATTGCAGTGACGTGCAAACCCTAGACACAGCCACAAACACTCCACCGTTATCATCCAACAAGACTACTACTGCTGTAATCGCTGCAGCAGACAGATCACTCAGACCTTCTCTCACTAAAACTTGCCCTTCATGCGGCCATCAGATCAAATGCCATGATCAGGTTTTGTATCTATCTATCTATATATGCACTACCCTTGTTTTCTTTCTAAGCTATATATCATGTATATATATATATATATATATATATATTTATGTGTGTTGTTTGTTATATATGCGCCTATTTTTTTTTCAAGTATTTATAATATCTAAACTGATGATGTGTACGAAAAGATACATGAATTAATTATGAGAAGTTATTAATATTATAGGGTAGTGGGTTAATTAATGATTTGCCGGGGCTGCCTGCTGGGGTGAAGTTTGACCCGACAGATCAAGAGCTTCTCGAGCATTTGGAAGGGAAGGTAAGGTGTGATGCTCGTAAGCTTCATCCTCTCATTGATGAATTCATTCCCACTCTTGAGGGAGAGAATGGAATTTGCTATACTCACCCTGAGAAATTGCCAGGTACATGCACTTCATCATTATTTTAATCATAACTCAAATACTAGTAACTACATTAATTCAATTCTTTTTTACTCTTTTTTATTGGTCATCACTGCGTAACTTTAACCAGTCACATATAAGAAGGAATACATATACATATATATATATATATATATATATATAATGTGAACGAAAATCCTCTAGAAACCTAGATGATCAGTTAAAATGAGAATGCACGTATTACTAAAACCCTCGAAATACAACCTTTAAAAGAAACCCTTTGAAATACTAACTCAAATTCCTATTTGATATATACTGGATAATTTGCAAGTATATAATAACTCTAGCATGCATGCATGCTTATCATACATATATAAAAATGCAGTCTCTTGTAATAATAACCCACTAGGGTATAAAAAATAAGAACACGCTACTAGCCTATTATAATGACTGTTTATCTAACGCATGCAAAATCCTGGGACTTGATTACTTTAATCATTGTTTGATAAATATATTTGGTTTCTAACCCTTCTCCTTCTTCTAAAGAAACCTCCCAACTAACCTAGTATATATAAGTAGCTGTAGCATTTTCTATACATGTATATATACATGTATATATAGCTTTAAAAAAAGAAGAAAACCCTCCAACTAACTCCATTTCTATAGCATTCAATTATCATTACAAACGATTTAAGAAACCCTCCAACCAACCCTAATGAAAATTAGATGGAACTAGATGTATAACGAAATTTCCCATCACCAATTGGTCAATCCCTTGATTTTCTTTTTGGTTCTTCTTTGAAGAAATAAATCATCAATAAACTCACACAGTATATCACCTATGAAATATATATTAGCTCATAATCAAATGTCTTAATTCCAAAATTAATTTAATTTAAATACTAAATTTTGTGTAACACATACTAATATCAGTATTTCTAAAATGACAATCAATATAGGAGTGAGGAAAGATGGCCTAGTCCGTCACTTCTTTCATCGACCTTCCAAGGCATACACGACAGGAACTAGGAAGCGAAGAAAGGTGCACTCGGACTCGGAAGGGGGTGAGACTCGTTGGCACAAGACAGGCAAGACAAGGCCAGTTTTTATTGGCGGGAAAGCAAAAGGGTATAAGAAAATACTTGTTCTTTACACCAACTACGGCAAGCAAAAGAAGCCTGAGAAGACAAATTGGGTGATGCACCAATACCACCTTGGCAATAATGAAGAAGAGAAAGATGGTGAGCTTGTGGTTTCAAAAGTTTTCTACCAAACACAACCCAGGCAATGCGGCTCAGCCGTCATCAAAGACATGACTCACCACCCACCAAAATTGAAGGGACAAGGACACGAGGGTTCGAATTTTAAAAACAGTTGCAGTACTACCACTACTCCTAATATTGATCATCATCGTCATTACTACAATCCTCCATTTATATCATTTGATCAAGGTGGACAAAATAGATCCAGCTCCGCTCAGATACTTCCCCATTTTGCAGTCCATGATGGGTCCTCTTTTATTCCTTGAGAAAGAACGTTAAAAAGTGAAAATGCAAAGCATATATGTGAAGTATTACTTACACTTACTTATCATATCATGCAATATAAATGGGTTAATAAATTAATGTATTGATATTCTTAGGATAATCACCAAAAGGTGGGAGAAGAATAAGGAACGTTTCTTTACAGTACACTTTGAGAATTTAGTAGGTTGGCCTTGTTTTTTGGTTCTTTTATTTATTTATTTTTAATTTCGTGCTTTGTACAGTAGTGTCGAGTGAGATTTAATTAAATTTCACGTGGGTCCTTTAATCTGAATCTGGGAGGTCAGTGTTAACTTTGAAACTGTACAAAGAATATTTTATTTTTTGAAAGGGAGGAAAAGCTGTATTGAGAGAGAAAAGAATATTGATAACTACCCCCAAGCAGGTATTCTTTTGATTCCTAGAACCTAATTGTTCAGTTTTTTTTTTTTTTTGTTATAATACTGAATGAAATGAAGTGTAATTATCTCTGTGTTCATGTGGCTGAATATGTGGCTTGCAGGCTTTGTTTAGTTTGGTTTAAGTACCTTTTTGAGATGCAGTTCTTTGTTGTGATCGCTCTCTACGTTTGTTTTGTATCATTTTCTTAAAGAGTTGATGAGCTGTTATAAATCCTTTAAACTATTGATGTTTAAAAATTAGGAAGTTTTCTTGAAATCTAAAAATCCGTATACTTAAGAGTAACTATAGTAGCATTATAGAAGTATATATGAGTTTATTAGAGGACAATTTAGTAATATAGAAGCAAGATTCCTCTTCATTCAAACTCTTATGGAGATGTTTGAGTAGATAATTTTCCAAATCTAGTTTCGCCCAAAAATGCAGATGATGTCTTATTGCCTGTCAATGATTTGTTGGAAACCAGCCACCATAATCAGTCATCTCTTTTTGTTACAAACAACAATAATCAGGCACCATTTGGGCAGCGAGTTCCTGTTGGGTCCCTTCTTATTTATAAAATTATGGCTGCAATCTATTTCTCAAAGACCCTCTAGAATTTCTGAGTCTTCTGCTTTATATCCATGACCTCCTCGTCTTTAGTTATGATCATCTTTCTCTGTCACACGAAGCTTTTATATGGCAGTATCTAGCAATCTGGAGCCTCAATCGTTGAGCAGGCAGTCACTGATTTTCACTAACGGGAATCCATCCGAGCTGAACTACAAGCCATGGAAGAAGACAGCAATACATGGTCCATTGTACCATAACCATTCGGGAAATATTCTATAGGCTATTGTTGGGTAAATAAGACAAAGTATAAATCTGATAGTACCATTAATCCTTATAAGTTACAATTAGTTGCCAAAAGCTATACTCTAACAAGAATGACTGGTTTTCTTGAGACTTTCTCACCGGTAGCTAAATTAGTGACTGCAAAAATGTTGCTTGCTTTAACTGCAATCGTAAGTAGTACGCAACCCAATCGAATGTTAGTAGTGCCTTCTTAAATAGTAATTTTAACGAAGAGGTTTATACAAATTTGCTATTCTGAGTATTGTAGTTAAGGGGGTCATCAAATGTCGTATTTATCTGTAAATTACATACGCTCATTTGTAGACTCAAACTGGCATTAAAATAGTGAAATTCCAAGTTTGCTCAATCATTATTCAAATTGAGTTTTCGGATTATTCTCTTTTCATTAGAGGCTCGGTTTTTGGTCTATGTAGATGACATTATTATAGTCGAACAAATAATTGTTCATCAATTTTTTAAAATGTGCATTACATACTCATTTTAAGGTATGAGGCTTCAAAAAAATATGTAGACAGCTGCCTTAATACCTCGCAGTTGGAAATGCTTCTAATTTATCGCTCTTATTCACTCTTCCAACAATACAAACTTCACCTTAAATGAATAAATTTTTAATTAAAAAAATTTAATTTTTATTTCTGAAGGTAAATAAAAATATAAACTGCAAATAATTTATATTTGTAGAAATTAAATTAAATTTCAAAATCCGTATCTTTATTAAATTTTATTTTATATATACAAATAAAATTAATTCTTTATTTGTTCTGAAATAACATTGAACATCAATTGCAGACATTTATAAGCAACAGTAGGAAGATTATATATCCAAAATGGTGATGAGACCAGTTCTACAGCAGAATGTACAGTATATATGAACACAAAAAGACACCAATTACCCCATTGGTTTTTTTTTTTCTTCTTTGTTTTTTCTTCAAAAGTGAAAGTTGAACCCTTTCTTCCTAATATCTAGGACTAGAGCTCATGACAAATAACTCAGCCAACAGAAAAGTGGGGAGCAAGTGAAATTGGAGCTCAGCTCCAAAAGCCCTACTGAATTCGTAATTAGTATCATAAACTCTGCTTAATATCGATTGAAAAGCCTGAGAAGTCGTATATGCAAGAAAATGTTTGGAGTTATTAGCTGAGGATATGTTTCTCATAAAGAGCCAATATGTCTTTCTTCTTAGGACGATTCAGTTCCAGCAATTCAGCACCAAAACCATGTCTTATAAGCTCCTCCCGTAATTTTGCCACTGTAAATTTCAAATAAGTTTGTGGTTGGCTCTTGCCTTTCTTTTGCTTGGAAACAGAATCTGAGTCTCCTGCCACTGTGCATTCATGCAGAGTCATACTGTGCTTTTGTTTCTTTGTTACTCTGACCACTTCATCAATATCCGTATCTTGGACAGAATCAACACCTGTGCCAGGAGCTTCTGACATCGAGCGCTTTCCAAAAGAGAGGTTTTCATGCTCAGGGACCACCTCAATTTCATTTAGGAAGTCAGAAACTGAATCCTGCCGGAGCAGATTTGTTTCTTCTTGTAATGATTCTACTTCCAAATAATACACTTCATGTTGACTAGTTACACCTGCATTTTCAGTGCATTTTGACTCTAGGACACTTTCGCGGATTTGAAATGCATTCACCTGTTGCTCGTTTTTCATCTTCAACATATCTATCTCTTCTTCTCTCTCTTTGACTCTTGCTTCTAGTAAAGCAATCTTGACTGTGGCATCCTGGTTTGCCAACTGGTACTTCTCAACTTCACCTTCCAAGTCCATCTTCTGCTTCTCCAAAGATTCAATATATTTTTGTCCTCTTTCGATTTCAAAATGTTTCTCCAGTGCCAGCTGCTGCACCTCTCCCTTCTGATTTTCGGCAGCTAATGGTTCTGCCTGTATTAAATTGACAAGATCATTTACCATCTTAACTTCTTCCACAGTTCTACATTCTTCACTTGCTTCTTCAATATTTTTTAGCTCAGCGATATATTTATGCTCTTGTTGGGATTTTCCTTGCTGCATCTTCACGACTTCTCTCTCCATTGATTCAGCAGTAGATTTTACATCCCGGTACTTCTCTTCCAACGCTCTGATTTGAAGCTTCAACTCACTAGACTCGAAGTTACAGCTATTTATCTTTGATTGAGCACCCTGCATGAAGATAAGAGAGTGGAAAAAGTAATCACAGAAAGGTTGAACAAACTGCCACTAGGACTCAAATGAGGAACAAGGCAGGTAGGCTAAGGTTGAGATATTAGTATTCAAATCCTGAGCAGTGAAAAGAGAAGAATGCGACAATGTAAAACACTTAGAGCCTCAAAGAGAGAGCAACCAAGTCATTAAGATGGTGAATCCAGGTATTTTCTTTTCCGGCCCAAGCTTCTCCTACTCGTGTGAAGATCAGTTGAATGATGGATATCAAGGAAGCTTACCTCTAACTCCAGTCGCAAAGCAGTTAACTGTTCCTCAGCACATTCAAGCTTTGATACTTTATCTTTGATTTCTGCATCCTGGCGTATTAATGATCAAGGACAAGCGAAGCACAACTTTTTCAAGCATCAGAATAGTAAAACATGCGAGTATGATACATGTAATAAATATCCAGATATGCAAAGCAAAAAAGAAGAGGACGAGAGAGTACAATTTCAACACCTTTTCCTCCAAACTGCGAGAGAAGTCTGCCCTAAGGGCATCTTCTCTAAACTGTGCCTGCTTAGCACTTTCCTGAACTGAAGCTACCTTCTCCACTGCAGCTTTAGTTTCTCTAACAGCATTCTCATACTTGATTTTCCACTCATTTGCTTCCTTCAAAGCAGACCGTGCTGCTTCATTGGCGGTAGCTTCTGCTTTAGCTGCATGATTCCAGGACTTGAAAACTGAGATTTCTTCACTGGCACTGATATTTTCGTTGTTTCTGCTAGTTATCAATTCTTCAAATTTCCTTTTCCATTCCAAGGATTCCTGTTTTGCTGAATCTATTGTTTCCATCAAAGAGGAACACCTTTCATCGAATAAGCTGCACTTGTTCTCCAAACTATTAATACGGCTCTTATAATGATCAGAAAGCTTCTTCAAGTCATCAATTGCATACTCATAATGCTGTTGATATTCAGATTTTAACTTATCACTTGCTTCCAATTGCTTATTAAGCATGTCTATCTTATCTTCAATAGTACGGCATTTCAATATGAGATCTCTCTTCTCCGGTGAAGAAGATTCATCTATCTGCTTCTTAGCATGGGGGAGTATGATGTCCTGTAAACTGGAATCAACAACTTTTGATGTAAGTTTATACATGAGAGAATTATTCCACCAAAGCCTATAAAGACAAGATGACCAGAGATTTACAGAAAACACGAGTATTTAACCTGTCCTAACTCCTAACAAGGATGACAGGCCAGATTTAAGAACCTTAGTATGGAGTTTATAAAAATACAATAAAAGTTGAAACAAACCTCTTCCGTAGAAAGTATGACAATTGCTGCCATTTTGCTGGACCATAAAATGATGCTTCGTACTCTGCTACGAGATTATCAAGAACCTGTTCAACGTACTATGAGGTTAGTTAATCCATAAAGAATGTTTATACTACTAATATTCCTACTGCCTATTACATCTAAGGAGAAAGAACCTATCTAGTAGATGATAAATACAGGTTCACCTATATAGCAAATTTATTTGGTTATTGCTAATCAAATGATAATTTTCTCATGAAAAAAGAAATACTATTCATAAAAGATAAACTATGGACACGCAATTAGCCAAACTAAAACCATAAAATGCCAATTCTGTGGAGTGGATGACTTAGTAGGACAATCATAAAAATATCAAGATACCCAGCTAGATGCTAAAATAACATCAAAAGGATGATATGGTGGTATTTCATCTCGAACAATTAAATTCTATGTCAGAACACTGCTCAGGAACAGTGACTCTTAAGAAATTGAATTTATGTAGTGGCAGGCTCAGTCAGATAAAATCGCACAATCTGTTAGAAAGAAACAAATTAGAAGCTCCCAGGTTCATCCCCCACTACCATGCATTTAAATGTTCAAACAAACTTCGTCCAGGGTCAAGTTCATCAATAATCAGGAAATATTGGGAATGGCTATAAAAAAATCAGTGAAACAAAACATTCATTAGTAACTTAAATGGAATATAAATAAATCTGATCAACTAAAAGAAAAAAAAATGTCAACCTAAAATACGAAAAAACATTTATAATAAATCCAATCATTTAAAAGAAGAAAATGTCAACCTAAATTATGAACACATTTACCCTGACAACTTCCTTGATCTTTGTGCCAGGAACTTGGCAAGCAGCTCGCAATTTTTTCTCCATGCTTTCTACAGCAGTGTAACATCTCAAATCTGCCGCCATAAATGCAGTTTGTTTATAGTCCTACATCAATAGCTTAATAAAATCAATAGAATTAAACTGACATGCCACCTGGGATCTTTAAGGATGTCTGCGATAATTATGATATGAACTAGCTTGCAAACCATATACTAGACCTTTACCGCAAAGGAAAAATAAGTAGCACCACCCAGGATCCATAAAAGAAACAGAAGAAAAACATTCAGGGTATAGTTGGGTTGATTTCCCCTCTTATTTTCAGATGAAAGTTCTATTTATCGAGAGCGGAAAAAAAATATATAAGTAGAATAAGACATTCTCCTTGAAAAATCAACAAAATAATGAGATAATGCACAAATAGTTGATCCCCTATGAGCTGTATATAATAACTTCCCGATTTCGATTGACCAGTGAGAGACTTATGTTAGGATATGGTCGTGTGCTTTTACCCACAAGGTTGCTAATCTCATATAGGGAGGTGGTAGGGTCATAAATCTGACGGTTGCTTATGAGCCACATACACCATTGTTCTGGCTACTTGCCCCATCTTAAAAAGCATATTTCAGTATACACAAAACAAGCACATTCATTTGGGTAAAGAAAAAGGATGTCACTGCTAGAGTTGCTACTACAAGATGTAGTTATGGGGCAATGAACATAATTCCTTGTACAAATTCTCGAATGCTTTAGTGTTTTTTTATCTTTATCTATCTTGGATAACCTTAAGAGTTTGTTAACAGAAAACCATACAATTTCTCGAGTAACAAAGTACTCAAACATTTAATAGAATTCCATAATAATCTTCCATCGACAGCAATGAAATTTATTACATTAGAGAAAAGCAGTTATGGTAGCCCAAATATTTCATTGCATTAGCTCCACAGTGCATAATCAATTCAATGCAAACCAAACTGGTGGAGCTGGTTTCCATGAGGCAGATAGTTAACAAAGAAATACTCAGAAGTATCACAATCCAGCACCCAGTTTCCGCTAAATAATGTACATTTTACTTGCTTGAAAATCGTTGGTAAAATTTACATTTAGAATGAGAAGGCAAAAGAGAGCAGGAGCATGGTGTTGTAGTAAAAGCTATGCGCATGATCTCTTCAGCTTAATAAAAAATTAAAAAGAATTTGGTCTCTGAAAACATAATAACATCAGTTCATTTTCTCTTCCATTTAATAGAAAAAGTAATTGTCAACAAATAAACAAAACAACACTAGTTCATGGTCTTTTCAGCTTAATTAAAAAACTAATTATCAAAAGAATTTTTCCTTCGAGAATGCATAACACCAGAAAAGTTGAAACACAAATAATGCCATAAACTCATCTAACTATCCCTACAATCAACAAAGTAGAAATATCAATGTATTATCTTGCAAAACAGGAATCAAGACACCAAATCAATTAGCTCTTGAGTACAGGCCTCGTTCCAGGTAGAAAACTTTGACAGCTCACAGAATGTATGCCACTTTCTAAAAGCCTAGTATCCATGTAAAGTTGTATCCCAGCTTGAAGAAACATATCAAGGTAATATTGCATGTAAAAAAATGCATGTATGGTTTGAGTCGTAACCTCAAATGCCTTTTGTAAGAAATTCTGGAGAAGAACTTCATATTTCTGCCTTGTTGAACCAGATCCAACAGCACTTGCATTAAATGCACTAAGTGATTTCTGAACTGCCTCTTCATGTGCTTCTTTTAAGAAAACCTAGCAATTGCATTAATGAGAAAGGAAAGGAACAACAGTACTCGAAATCCTGATTTCAGTCAGTAAAGTCACACCTTTTGTACGAATTGCACTTACTTCTTGTGGAGGCTTTGTGCGGTC